CTTGGTTTGTGATCTACCTAGGATATTAATGGCTTTTTCCCCCCAGCTCTTGCCATTTCTGCTTTCTAGAGAGTGTTTTTGTTACGCTTAAGACCTATTAATTTCATGATCCTTAAAAGCTGGCTGGTTTCCTACTGCTCTCAGATGTAACTGCTAAGAGGGAGGGTGGGTTGAAAGAAAACAAGAGCATAGATTTTTCTCTCATATGCTGTCCACCACCACCCCCCGAATTATCTTTCTGACCTATGTATCCTTAGTGGGCATCGTTGTGATTAGATCTTGAGTTGAAGATGGTCCATTTCCTTTTAAAAAATCCTAAAGCTCTGAAAAAAGTAGTATTTTCATTCCTTTTTAGCTCATTTTTAAACCTGTCAACTCATAGAGCAAAAAGCCATTCCCCATTTGAGTGGGGGAAGACAAGCTGAATATCAGATGGGTTACTGTGATGACCCCACACTCTTGAATTGTTTTAACATTTATATACAGCATTCGAAAAGAAGACATTTAATTGCCTCTGTGTAGTCAGAGAACATGCAGCAATATATTGAGGAGATATAGAGATGATGTCTTTACAGTGCTGGATTTCAAATAGGCGGTTGGATTCAGATTCCAGCTTTGTCGCAAGGTTTACTAGAAGAATCACAGGCATCTATTTTAAACCACTAAGTGGGGGAAATTCACACACACATACAAAAATAGGACAATACCTCTCTTTCGATGAACTCAAAGTTACTGTATTCACAGCACAATCCTGAATATTTGATATTGGAAGAGAGAGCTAGGTGTCATCTACCATACCCCATATTCCTACTTAGGGTAGCCAAGAAAGGAGGGTGGTGTCTCTTTTCTCAGCCAAGTTCCTCAAGGGCTTAAGATTTCTCTGTTCTTATCCAGAGAAATAATATATTTTATTATATATGCCATCTTTCTGTGTTATGACTTCAAACTGGCTAACTACAATAAAATTGTCTTGTGGTGCTGTAACGAATCACACATTTTAATACTATAACTTCTCATGGACAAGAGCCTAGTTTATCTAAATATCTCAGAGGGGCAGGGAGGTTTTTGAGTTCCAGGTGTTTAAAACTTCAACTTCCAAATGCCCCCAGTCAGTATGGAAGAAAGTTATATCTCCAAGCTTGTTACTCGAATCAGGGGATCATTCACCCCTTATATTGCAGACAGAGGCAGGATGTAGCTCATCTGAAGAAGGTTTGGATGTTCCTCCCCCTCCCTCTCCAGTGATGTAACCACTTCTGAAGGGGTTTGTGAGTTCAGATGACCGAGGCCTCAACTGCCATCACACCCATCTGCCATTGTAATCTCTGCTGCATTGGAAACCCTAATGGGACAGGCACCCAAAGATAGTTGAGCATGGCGTTGTTGAAGCCATTTTCCTCAAACATAAGAGAAGCTCAGCATTATTTCCCTCATTACTGGGTGCATCTTTCTTAGAGTTGCCATCACTCAACTATCTGGGGGGGGCTTCTGTTCCTTTAAGGTTGCCATGGCAGGAAGAAATAAACAAGGCTAAGCATTCTAAAGAGATGCAGTGGCAGTTACTGAAACATGGGGGGTGGTTGTCAGTTATGAACGTTGGACCAGAAGGGCGAAGTGACTCAGAGAAGGCAGCACATACTGAATCAGTACAGCTAGAAAACACCAAGTAGTTTCGTAGTGTTATTTTCCCATTTTTAAAGACAAAAGTGAGTTGACGCCAAGTAGTAGCTGAGGGCACAACCCCTCACAGATGGCGTTCTCTGAGGTATGACTGGGGCATGACACACAAGATTCAACATTTGGAAAAATAAGTTTTTTATAGATTGTAGCTCCCCAATTGGCTCATTATATCCTAACTGTAGCTATGTTGGCTGACTGGGAAATTTTGAGAGCTCTACTTCAAAAAGAAAAGTAACTTTCCCTAGCTTTGCAAAACACATCCCCCAAAATAACTTTTCCAAGGTCTGAAATTACATTCAATTATGCTACACCTAATTCCATCCCACCACCCACCCAAAAGTATTACCTAGATGTGTGTAGATTCATGTTTTTGGACCCCCAGAAATCTCTAGGTAACATAGTTTTTAAGAAGACAATTGCAGTCTTAAAAACAAGATCTTACAGAATGGAAAATGGGCCGAGGGTTGAGATCATAAACGTGAGATGCTTCAAAATGTGCTTTATCAATGCTCAGTTCTCTTGCCCTCTCCGTCGTCTCTTACAATTTCTGAGTCCATCAGAATTAAACATTTGGGAGTGTCTTCTTAATTATAATTGAAGGGACCACAGATTTTATTTGGGGTGATAGAGCCCCCTGTAGTGATAAATAATCCATGCTTCCACCAGATGCTGAGTGAAGGAATGTTTCTAAGGAAACACTTGATGGGTTGATGGTTTTGAAATATCTGAGAACCAAGGAGTTGGGAGTGATACTGGTTAATCTTTGCTGTTCCTGCCTAATTCCCATCAACAAATATGACATGAGGTGATAGGGCGGTAATTTTCCTGCTTTATAGAGGATAGTAATTATAGTAATCCTTTCTAAATGGTGCTTATGCCTATATGTTAACATTGCACAGATAATACCTTCTTTTGTCCTACTTGTTGTTGATGCATTTCCTCTTTTTAAGAGTCATGTAAATTGTAAGATTTTGGTTATATGAGTTCATAGTGAGTTCTAATGGACTGAAAAGGCTGCATGCCACCCACCCCTGGTGTAAGTAACAACAGCCTCTGAAGAAGCCAGTTCAGACCATGGATGAAACTCTCAAGAAAACAATCTTCCAAATCAGTTGCTACTATAACCATTTAATTATCATCTGGAAACAACTCACAAAAGTCAGTGGCCACGAAGGCTGGAGGGTTGTGAGAACCATTGTCCAAAAATTAAATATATAAATATGCAAAATCTTCTGGGGAAAAGAAAAATTCTCTTTCAGCCTAGAAAATTACTTACCGATACTCTTGACCTGGCCTAAATTTGTGTTGTTACTATGACTATGTCCATTGACTGAAAGGAGGTTTGAGCCTAGTGTAACTATGCTCCTCCTTACTCTAGTCCTCCCTGTTTTAAGATCTTTCTGCCAACAGATCTTAGCCAGCAAAGCAGTTCCCTTGGCAGATCATTCTGTTGGCCAATGTATAAGATCAATGGGAAGAACAGGGAGGTCGATGGTATAACAGTTAGCAGAAAAGCCTTGTGCCTAATCTTGTATAGCTACCTAGTGCATCTGTGAATTAGGATTGCTTTGAATAGCTGCCTCAGCTCTGAGTTCTATAAGGAAGACCTTTATTTCATTTTCTGCACTCTTGAGCCACATGTTTGGCAGTGATGCACAACAGAACCTCCTTGGTGGCTGCTCCTGGGCTCTGGAACTTTTTCCTAAGGGAGGCTAAATTACCCTGTTGACCTTCAGCTATTAGATAAATACCTTTTTATTCAGGCTGGCTTTGGGCAACTGTCTGCATGGGGCAGGGGGGTTATATTATCTTTGCTTCCTACTGGTCTCTTTGAAATTGTGTTTGTTAATATTTGAACTTGTTTTCTATTTTAATTGTATTTTGATTCAACTATCTTGTGGACTGCTTTGAGTCTCAGGTGGAAAATAAATCAAACAAATACAGTAACTAAACACACTACAAAAGCATATTCATAATCACAGGATCATTCCTGTTGCAGAGTCTGGTTTTAATGAAGCCATAAAATGGCTGCCGATTATTGTTACATGATTTAGCTCTTCTGCAGAAAAACCTGTACAGTATTTGGGTAAATAAGGAATCCACACAAGTCATTAGTTTTGTCTGTTTCAAGCACACCTAGATTTAGCAAACAGGTGACTCAATTTTGATAACTTCCACAGATATTACATATTAATGAATTACAACATTTGGCAAGATTAAATACTTCTGCCTAAAGCAGTTGTCATGTCTTCAGGAAAGCGGAGATGATTCTGGCCTTGTAATTCTGGAGAAGTTGAAACAATAGCTCATATTCTTTTGCATTGCCCTTTTTATATGGATATTTGGAAAATTTATTCAACCTTGTTTTAAATCATTTTTGGCATGGCATTTCTTGGTCACTCGGAGACATATTACATTCTTTTATTGCTTTTAGGGAAGAATATAAGTACCCTGTGTGTAATGTAGTGAAATTTTGTGCTGCTGCAGTCAAACCTGGTGAAGGAAGTGTTGTGATAAATTTATAATTAGTATTAGTGAACAACAGCAATCTGCTAAGAGGGGACCACATCCAGGTACACTTCTCCCCTGAACTTGGTTTGAGCAGTGCAGTTTTGGTTATACCTGGAGTTTTTCAATAAATAAATTGAAAAAATATATTCAATAAATAAATATTCAATAAATACTGCGCCCCTGGCCACGCAAACCCCACGAGTTCAACATCAAAAGTGTTGAAGTGATCTGGCCACGCAAACCCCATGAGTTCAACATCAAAAGTGTTGAAGTGATTTACTTGTCACCAAACACAACATATCTAATTTGGCCTCTAGATGAGGGGGATTGTAAGGACTTTTAAGGCTTATTACTCACAATAATGCAGGGAAAGGATCGTCAAAGCTGTGGAAGAGAACCTCGATAGAGAGAACTGTTCTTTGGATGTCTATGAATCAACTGTTTGTGCTTTGTAGTTATGCTTGAGGTGGCATAAGAGTTATACAGTACACAGATTTTGAACTACACAGGTGTCCAGGACCCCTAATCCCATTTTTTTTGAAGGGAGAAGTGTACTAATTATGCCGCTGGGAGATTTTTAGCTATTACAATGTCATGTTTTAGAGTGACAGTCGTGCAATTCCTTAGAATGACACATTTTATTTATAAATGGTTAATTTGTATTTTCGATATTGGTCACTGACTGTAATGAAGTGTATGTATCCTATCTAATGCATATCAGTTCTCTCCATTCTCTACTATTCCTAGCTTTGAACTCACAAAAATGCAACAAAATGATACCGTATCTTCTTGTATTATCCACATCCTAGGATGTAACAGCTACCCTGTTTTTCTCTGTCTTCACTGCTGTGCTGGGCTTCTTCCAGTATGGATACTGTATTGGAGTCATCAATGCTCCACAAACGGCAAGTAAAGCTACTGTTTCCAATTTTTTTTCTATCAGACTTTCAGTCCCTTAATACGTGACCTCTTTTGCAATCCTCAGGCCAAGGGTACTCTTCCAGATTTCCCCAGAACATATTACTTCTCCAAAAAATATAATAAAATAAAAAGTTAGGTATGAAATTACTCTAATATTTAAATAATTAAAATTACTTTAATTATTGTAAGCCGCCCAGAGACCAAATAAAATAAAAGGTTAGGTATGAAATTACTCTAATATGGGCCTCATTCAGTCATAATGTTATTGTGGTTTAGGGTTACAGGTACGAACCTGCTCCTCGCAGAGTTTGGGAGCTACAGTATTTGTTACAAGCAACAAAATCATGTGCTGCCTGTTACTTCTTGGGAAACAACCTCAAATCAAATCAAACCTTTATTGGCATATACTGGAAACAACATTAATAACATTGTTATGTTTAAAATCAAAATGTGCCAACTAGTGGTACCGTTGTCACTTTAGGACATAAAAAGTAAAGTTTATTCGTTACTCCTAAAACAGTGGTTCCCAGTCTTGGGTCCCCAGATGATCTTGGACTACAACTCCCCAAAATCCTGGCCAATACAGCTAGTGCTCAAAGCTTCCAGGAGGTGCAGTTTGAGAACATCTAGGGACCCAAGGTTAGGAACTATTGTCCAAAAATATTGACCATCAGTGATGTTTCATATGACAGGAATATAGTTTCAAAGTTCATACCAACTACAAATATTAAAGATTTTTCTAATAGAAAGCGAACATGCTTCAAGGCATCCAGCCAGAAAAAAGCCACCATGAACATACCTACTTTATATACCATAAAGAAATGCTTCCTGTATTGCATCAGCAACATTTAACTGACATTACCAATTCCTTTCTTCAAAAGATGCAATGGCATACGACAGGCATCTGAAAACATCAATTTTTGTTGGACCACATATAGTTTTTAATCGAAAGGCTGTTATCCTGATCAATTCATCGTGCCTGTAACTCTACTGCTGTAGCTTCTTGCATATTTGCATTTATGCATGTGGTAAATTGAAGCAAATACTGACTGAAGAGATTTCAAGTGTTGAGACAAAGGCATGTTCTCATTGTGTGTGTCTGTGTGTCTGCTTTTTAAAAAAAGTATCCTTAAATGTAACACCTGAGTGGGGTGAACACGTTTTGACATGTGACTCCAAAAGGCACACTAGCTGAAGAGCCAGGATCAATTGTAGCTCCCTCGGGAATGTGTACTTCAAGGATGAGCTATTTTAATGAGTCTAGAGATCAATTTTCTGCTTTTGGAATCTTCTGGGGGCTACACAGACTGGGGGTGGGAATGAGAAAACAGGGAAGAATACTACTACACACCACCTACGGTTTTGAAAGATGGAGCTAGGGTAACACCATGTTACAACCTATTTATGAAGGTGAATCATTGCTACTGGAATTGGATCATCCTCCCCCCCTTTTTTGCTGGATACCCCCCCTTTTTTGTAGAGCAGCTGCAGAGTGTGATGGTCTGGTTCAGAAAAGTAGCCATGAAGGGCTGCATGCCACCTCCACACTATATTACACCCAGATTTGGTACACATTATGCCAGCCAAACCCAAGGTGGCCACTATAAACTGGATGAATAACTCCTAGCATTGAAATAATAAGAATCTGGGATCCTTCGAGTCAATGACATTATCCATGTGTTTTTGTCACCACAGATCATCATGGTCCACTATGCAACAGTGCTGAATATTATAACTTCTGACGAAGCAAAAAACAGCACTGTGAGAGAAGACATCCAGAAGCACCCTAAAGTCATGATGCTTTGGTCTATGTCTGTGGCCATGTTTGCAGTTGGTGGAATGATTTCTTCCTTCACTGTTGGGTGGATTGGGGAAAAGATGCCCAGGTGAGGAACACTCTGCTTTTGTTTCTTTTGCAAGTCACCTGCCAGGTGGATCTCAGACCCAGTGGAGATATCATGGAGATAGCACATCTAATTCTGGGTTCCAGTGGAAGTTGGTGTCTCTGGCATCATGGAGATAGCACATCTAATTCTGGGTTTCAGTTTGAGCTCTCCAAGGTGCTGAACCCACTGTGGACAACTTCTTTAAAGTTTCGTTTCCACTCCAGAGCCCATTTTTGAGTCCCCTGACATTGGAGTCCCCAGCCACCATGGCTCATATTCTATGCAAATTCAGGGTGATGTCTTATAGCTATTTCCCCTTGGCTAGCAGGAAACTTCACATTGTCTTCATCAGCATTTGAACAGCACATAGAAACCACCAAGTGCAGCCTACAAAGACACAGGCATTCATTCCAAACCTGTGTAGCGCCTATTACAATAATATTCATGGGAACCATTAAAATGTTTTAAATTAAAATCTAGCCATTGCTTGTAACACATAATTGTTCCTCAGGCTGGCATTTAGAAGAGAGCAACCTACAAGCAACATGGTGTTGTGTGATTTTTTTAAAAAACCGGTGTGGTAAGCACTTTCCTTGCCCTATGGAGCTATGTTTAATGTGGTGTTGTGTGATTTAAAAAAACAAAACGGTGTGGTAAGTACTTTCCTTGCCCTATGGAGCTATGTTTAAACTAAGTATTGTAGGCACAATTAGCATTGAACACAAGTGATATTCTAAATCAGATGACAAAAGCAACAGCAACCACATAAACATAGCCCAAACTACATACATGTATGCTCTCTGAGTTAGAATAAACATGCTGGACTAGACAGATGTTTGGTCTCATCCAGTTTAGTGTTTCTCCTGTTCTCGGACACATCCACGGGGAAAAGGCTGGTCTCCTGGAGAACAGCAGCAGCCAGAATCCAAAAATAAGGGAAGACAGTATCTTTATTAGACTACCAAGATATCCCGTCCCTGAGGCTGACTAAGCCTTTTTCGTACTGATATTGAATGAATGTTCCTTTTTTTTAAATATAATTAATCCAGAGTTAAAGCCATGCTAATCGTGAATATCCTTGCTGTTGCTGGGAATATTTTTTTGGCCGTGGCCAAATTCGGACCGTCGCATGTCCTGATTATTATAGGAAGAGCTTTAACTGGACTGCACTGCGGTAAGTGGGGGGGGGGAGAGGTTCTGCTGAGACTATCACTTCCCTCTAAAGTTCTCAGATGTTTTGCCTGACCACTTACAATTGTGATTAGTATATAAGGTGACATGACCACAAGGAGAAAAGAGAAGAAGGGGGGGAGGAGAGAAAGAGTTTTAATGAGGTAGAAGAAAAGAAAAAGAGGGGATCAGATTAGGCCAGTCTCAGCACCTGACATTTTGGGACACCCGCCTTTTATCAGGCAGCAAGAAATACCTGGGAAGCCTCCATGTTAAAATCACCATGATGTCCTATAAGCCTTCTAAGGGGCACTGACATTTCTCAGCTTTGTTGAGGTATCCCTCACATCTGTCACTGGCCCAGGGCTTCAGTACAGTTCTGTAAAACGGCTGGGCTTTTCCACCGTCCATCATGATAACACGAGAACATTAGAAAAGGTGCAAGCTGTATAGAGAAAGCAAAAATGGGAGGGCAATGTGCAGCAATGTGGGGTTGGTAAAGTATTGGCAGAGTTTGGAAAGTTTCTTTCCTAAGGGAATCACTAACATTACTGGTTCCCATTTCAAAAATCAACTCATTTCAATTACACATAACATTCTAAAAAAAAAATAGTTTGTGAAGTTGTTAATTTTTTACTTGTTTTTATTGTTTTAGCTTAGTTTTCTCCGCTCTCCCCTTCCATTCCTTCTGATCAGCAGTAAGAAAATGGCTTAAAATCTGGGGGTGGAAGTCAGATTTCTAATGAATATCAGGAAACAATACGCTAGTGGAGCCAATTACCTTGGGAGGGGGTGAGCACTCCAATGCTGGAGGCATTCAAGAGAAAAGTGGACCCCCATTGGTCAGATCTCCTCTGATCTGGATTCCTGCATAGAGCAGGGGGTTGGACTCGATGGCCTTATAGGCCCCTTCCAATGCCATGATTTTATGACCTTGTGGAGATCACTAATTCAAATTCATAAGTCAGACACAATTTGGCAGCACAGAACAGCAACAACAATGACTTAAAATTATGAAACTCTGCAAAATAATACAGAAAGCATAAATAAATGAGATACCCAGACAGTGCCAAAGCTGCGTAGCAATGAGTAGTTGTATCTTTCCTCCATCATTGCCATACGGTGGATGCAAATGCAGAGCATCCTCGTTTTTTGACACTTGAAACAGAGACAGAAGTCCTGACTTTTTTTTGGTATATGGTTTCCTTCTTAAGAGAGCTTGGAAAAGTTACCTTTTTGGACTACAAGTCCCAGAATCCTGTAGCATCTTTTTCTAAACTCTGATTCTTAATGACCGTCCATGCCTAATGCCCTTAAACATCAGACTTGTTTCGAGACCATCTAAAGATAACTGGGTGAATTTGTTCATCTTGTTACATGGTTGGTGTGACAAGATCACTGAGTTTTATGCCTGTTTTCCCTAGGACTCGCATCTGGACTTGTTCCACTATATGTTGGAGAAATAGCACCTATTGCTCTTCGAGGGGCTCTTGGATCATTGCACCAACTTGCTACAGTTATAGGTATTCTCATCAGCCAGGTAGGCTCTTAGGGATGTATGAAGACTACGTGACATCTTGTGTTCTGATAATGCATTAGAGAAGGACACAGTAAGATCACTCTCTTAGAAAGCTGCACCCACTGCCCTCTGCCTCCTGTCCCCGCGGGGATGGGCGGCAGAGGGCAGCGGGGATGGGCGGCAGAGGGCAGCAGGTGCAGCTTTGGAAGCCCGGGATTTTGTTTTCTTTAGCTCAAATGGATTAAATGGTTTTCAGTGCATTCCTATGGGAAATGAACCCTCGACCTACAGATTTTTCGACCTGCGGCCACCGTTCCAAATTCCGTAAGTTGAGGGCCCACTTGTATATGGACTTCTTGCTGTAACAACAACAGGCATTTAACAAACTCTGTGCACAGGATGGATTTGATTTAAATCATGACATAAATAAAAACAGATTTTGATGATTTAATTGTTTTTAAATGATTTTTACATTTAAACTGCAATTTAAATCAATTTGATTTTTAAAAGATCATTGATTGTTATCCACTGTGCCCACACACATACATATGCAATCACACAATATATTCGCCGGTCCATATTTTTCCAGGTTCTCGGCCTAGATGTCCTGTTGGGCACGGATACCCTGTGGCCGCTACTTCTTTGCCTGTCTGGCATTGCAGCCGTTCTTCAGATTTTCCTGCTCCTCTGTTGCCCAGAGAGCCCTAGATATCTTTACATTAAATGTGCAAACCTGGAGGAAGCCCAAAAAAGTAAGTCCGTTTCTATATTAACTTGCACCCTCTGTGTTGATTCCCCAGGCTTCCAGCTGTTGCTTTGGCTTATTCAAATCAGATTTGGGGGTGGGGGAGGAGTCATAGATTCAGGAAATTTTAGTTTGAAAACCCAATCAATGGCAGTTTTCCCCAAGCTGTGGAGGGAACAGGCTGCTCCTGCTAAGGAATATTCTCTTATCCAAGGGATTTTCAGAGAAGAGTCTTGGATGAAGTAGAAGACTGAGGGAGAGAAAGAGAAGCTATGGACTGTAGAAGGAGCCAGAATTGTCAAGATTTATCTGACAACCTAACGAAGAAAGAAAGAAACCCAACCTGTGGGCATTGTCCCTCGATGGCTTGAGGACATTCATACATGCACGCACATACATGCAGAATGTATTACCTGGTGGAAAGCAGGGAAGTCACAACTGAACATAGGCAAGGCACATTTCCATTTCAGACTTAGTCAGCCCTGCCGTCAAAAAATAAAATAAAATAAAAACATCTGTGACCAAATTTTAAGATTCTGGAGTCACATAACCATCACTGACTGGTGAATGTTTTACAGCAGCTTTTAAATCGAACAAACACCACATGATTCAGAAATTCTCCATACAACATTCGAAAGCCATATCCTTATGGTTTTGACCCAGATGAATATTTGTCACAAATGGGCTTTGCAAAATTTCCTAATTCCTCCCCCCCAAAAAAAATTCTAGGAGGACTTGGCGTTAGCCTGTCGCGGTGACAATCAACACCATGTATCACCTTGAAGAGTTATAATTTTATTTTTGTGGATTACCATTTTTGTGTGAATTCTTTTCCTTTGCAGGCTTGAAGAGGCTGAGAGGACAGGGCTATGATCCGTCCAAGGAAATAGAGGACATGGAGAAAGAAAAAGAAGAGGCATCTAAAGAAAAGCCTGTCTCCATTTGGCAACTTGTCACTGCTGCAAACTACAGGCAGGCCTTCCTGGTGGCCATTGGAGTCCATATTGCTCAGCAGTTTTCAGGGATCAATGCAGTGAGTATTCCTCAAGATCCACCCTAATTGCTAAAGACATTTAAGGTGCATCCTATAGTTTTGCAAGTGGGCCTTACTTCTGAACTCACACGCAGGATTTTGCTGAAAAGTGAATACAGTGGGGTCTCGACTTACGAACTTAATCTGTATTGGAAGGCAGTTCTCAGGTCGAAAAGTTCTTAAGTCGAATCTGCATTTCCCATAGGAATGCATTGAAAACCATTTAATCCTTATCTGCTCTTTTTGTCCATAGAAACTAATGGGAAGCTGCTATTCTGCCTTCTGCCACTAGAGGGGGATATTTTTTCTTTTTTTCCTTTTAACCTAAGATGACTTAGGTTTAAAAAAAAGGGGGGAAAAGAGTTCGTAACTCGAATCTAAGTTCGTAAGTCGAGTCCATATACTCCTATGAGAGCGGTTCGTAAGTCGAAACGTTCGTATGTCGAGCCGTTCGTAAGTCGAGACCCCACTGTAACTGTGTCCAACAGGACATATAGGCTGAAGCCAATTGAAAAGTATTGATGGATGGTCAATATATTCTTGGTCTCAAATGGTTACCAAGGTATTCCAGATAATCTATGCATTATTTTGTTCTGCTTTTGCCACTCTGGGTCCATATTGGCTTACCTCATGTGATGAAAGGATAACCAGTCATCAGAGCTTTCAGCACTTCATTCTTTTCTCTTTTGTTAGATCTTCTACTATTCCACGGATATTTTTAACAAGGCTCGAGTCAGCAACCCTGTCTATGCTACCATCGGAGTGGGCTTTGTGAACACTGTGTTCACTGTTGTCGCTGTGAGTAAATTGAGATTTATGTGTATTGTGTGATGAGCTTAGGCTTGCTCGTGTCAGCCATAATTACTGAATAAAAGATTTGGGTGAATCTCTATCCCATTGCTCTATTGGCAGGTAATACCAGATTTTGTCACTATGTAGGGCTATGCCTGTTTTATCTCAACCACAGGTCACCATTTTGTTAGGTTAATAATGGTTTGCCCCATTTTTTCAATGGGATAAAAATTATCCTTTCGTGGTTCTTTGATTTTTCTTTTGTTTTAAGCATTGTGACAAGCAAGTTGGAAAAAAAAATGTTGCCTTTGCAGGATTGCCAAGATTAAAAAGCATGCAAGGGATACTGAAATTGGAAAATCTATTTTTGGGGTTCCCTGTCTTAGATTTTTTTCCCAGCTATTCTTGCCATGACCCATGCCTGCTGGAGGACTGTGCAAGCTGCAGGGTAAAATTTAATTCGTCTCAGCTCTGCAGGAATGCTAAGCACTCATGAACAGTTTCAGGCTTCCCATACAGAACAGAATGCTGAACTTGATAGGTCCTTGGAGAGGGGGGATTTGCTGCTTGGGTAACAGCCTATCCTCCATACTACTTTACCCAGGCTTCATGCTCTGGAGAGGACACTTCTCGATACAGAGCATGTTACCATAGTCTCTCGAGACTGAAGGATGCCTATGATGGTCTGATTCAGTCAGGTCCTTCTTTTGAATGGTAGGACTTGATTATATGAGGGTAGGATACTGAGCAGCCAGGGACACAGACAGGAGAAGCCTGCCTTGTGCAAATTCATACCAACAGACTATCACGCTGCCAGTTAGTGTCTACACTAACTGGCAGCAGGTTTCTAGCAGCTTTCATCTGGCTTTTGTCTGAGTAAACGTGGTTAGGAATGTTACGGTTAAGAAAAAGAATGACCGAGGTTTTTTTTAAAAAAAAAAATTGGATAAGACGTCAGACATGTCCAGTTGGTTAGGCCATGCTCTATTTCTTCAAATTATCATAGTGGCAGTTTCTCAGTAGGGTCTTTTATTTGATATCTGCAGAAGACATGCTAGGTTAGCTTCCACCAGTATTTGCTCTTCTCTTTTATGTTCTTTAAAGGTCACTCAATGTTAATCAGAAAGTCAACAACTGGTGGATTCAAATCAACAGGCCATTTGAATCTATGTACTGTATATATGCATTTGTTTGGACCTTGGCACCAAGGTACAAGAAAGAGCAATTGCAATCGTGTGCAGGAGCAGGCCAGCTGGGCAGAAGAAAGCCAGAGGAAGGGCCCCTACATACAGATAAACTTTCCTGTGATAGTATTGTTATCCTTCTCCATTCCCCTGAGGGGTGTGAAAAATTACAACCCAGAACTGAACTCCACAGTTTCCTTAGGACAAGAGGAAGCTCTTGGAACTTAAAGGTTTTCCCCTTTCTCATTTGCTGTGTTTACATATTTATTAACACAGCAGGAGAGGGGGCAATCATACTTCTTAAAGGAGAGGAACACACACAGACCCAGACAGGAACAGGTCTGTGACTCTATCCATCTCCCAGTTTTTCCCCCCAAGGAGTCATTTTTGGAGAGCTGTTAGTGTAATGTGGCAAAAAACACACAACAATCTTTATTTTCTTTTATGCCTGCAGGCGTTTGTGCAAGTTGATGAGACTTAAAACCTTTTAGTCTTTAAGGTGCTCTAGGGTTCATTCTGGTTTTCAAGAAACTTCCCATTCTCTCCCCGAAGCCCACCTAGCCAAGGCTTGTTATCTAACCAAAAAATCTGCCAAGAACTGGCTCCTACTCCAGGTAGACTACTTCCAAAGCCAGTATATTGGCTGGCTGGATGCTAATCCAGGTTTTGTCAATCACACGTTGGACACAAAAAGCTTTGTGCAGCTCCTGGATTGCCTGGTTTAAAGCACTTTTTCTGCCGACATAGAAATACAAGCCCCAACTCACTCTTATTTTTCTATGGACAGGTCTTCTTCGTGGAAAAAGCTGGACGGCGCTCCCTCTTTATGGCTGGCCTCTTTGGCATGATGGTGTGTGCAGTAACAATGACCCTTGGCCTTGTGCTTCAGGTAAGGCTCTCATCCTTGAGTGTTCAAAGATGACTGAAGCCACCAACAGGTAACTTTGGAGAAAAAAAACGAATGTCCTCCTAGCAGAAAGCTTCAATTAGATGAACATTAACCCTGGCTTCAATTCTGTTCCTTATTTACGGTATGTGTGTGGAAATTAAATTGATTAACTCAGCATGGCGAATTACTACTTCTAACAAGGCACCAGCCATTTGGCCAGAGCTGGGGCAAGATATTGTGTTGCCTGAGCAAAGGACATGATGCCACTCCTTCCTGTTTCATGCTGGCCTGAGGGGCAGTTGAAATTTACTTCAACATTGATTACAGTGGTGCCTCGCAAGACGAGTGCCCTGTTTAACAACGAAATTGCATCACAATGATCTTTACAATGTTTCCTATGGGGAAATTTCACTTTGCAATGATTGGTTCCCTACTTCGGGAACCAATTCTCGCAAAATGACAATTTTCGGGCAGCTGATCGGTGGTTTCAAAATGGCCTCCGGGTAAAAAACATGGCTCCCTGCTCTTTTCTGGGACGGATTCCTCGCTGCACAGGCAGCAAAAATGGCCACACTATGGAGGATCTTTGCTGGACAGTGAGTTTCAAGCCCATAGGAATGCATTAATTGGGTTTTAATGTGTTTCTATGGGCTTTTTTATTTCGCATTACGACGTTTTCGTTCTACAACGATTTCGCTGGAATGAATTAATGTCGTAACGTGAGGCACCACTGTATGGGGTTCCTCCTCCACCCTAGAGGACAGCAGCTTAGCTGAAGGACTGCAGGGCAGGCCTCACGGATTGGAGTTTCACTCCCTAGCATCAGCTGCCTGAGACAGCTGCTTCTTTCTGTCTGATGGTAGGGCTGGCCCTGAATCTGGCTCGTAGCATAGAGCCAGAGCACCTTCCACATCTTCTGTTCCTGGCCCAACCATGATGCAGCAATACGTCCTCTCATATGATCTACACTAGAGATGGGGATATTCGTCTACGAATACAAATATCCCCACACAGCTAGAGTTAATGAGGGCCTGATCCCAATCACACATCTGCCACCACTACTGGCCCCACTCATCCTTCCAATTGCTCCCGAGCGCCGTTCTCTTCTCAGTCATCTAGCCACTCCTGGCAGAGAGAGGGAGGACGAGTCTCCCTGCAAGGCCGCCGAGTGGCTCGCCGAGCGGTGCTCCGGAGCGATTGGAAGGACAAGAGGGATCACCGCTGCTGCCCGATGTGTGAGTGGATGGTCCAGGCCCAGGGGTCGGACCCTCATTAACTCCAGCTGTGTGGGGATATTTGTATTTGTATACGAATACAAATAGCCCCATCTCTAATCTACACACGTAAGATCTTGCCCATACTGTACAGAATAAAAATAGAAGAGTCAATTAAGAGATAAAATTTGGAATGTGTTTATACCAGTGAGGCTTAGGCACATAGGCTGCTCCTTGTATCCATGTCAGAGGGTGGTATGCTGGTAGCACATAATGGGCTAAACTGGCCCTTTTCAGGTATCACTCAGATTTACTCCTTGACTGAAGAGAAATGCTTGAGATTCTGTGAAACCTCTGCTGTTGCTAATACGGTCTTGTTTCTTTGCTTCTGTTTCCAGCCAAAGTTTGAATGGATGAGCTACATCAGCCTGATTTCCGTCTTCCTATTTGTCAGCTTCTTTGAGATTGGGCCTGGACCAATTCCCTGGTTTATTGTTGCTGAGTTATTCAGCCAAGGTCCTCGCCCATCAGCCGTTGCAGTGTCTGGCTTTTGCAACTGGTTCACCAATTTCTGCATTGGAATGTTCTTCCCCTACGTAGCTGTAAGGCCACCACGATGTTTATTGCATTTATGATGGGGACTGCTAAATGAAATGTTCCAGCATTCATGCATTTGCAGTTTAATGAGGAAAACAGAACTGGGGTGGAAATCTAAATTGGGCAAAGGAAAAGTATATTTCTAGACCTTAAAATTACAATCAGGAACTCAGCAATTCTGCGGCCACTGATAGCATAAGGGGCTGCAGAGACCTGCAAACTAGGCATCAAAAACGTGTTAGGTTAGACAGAACTTGGAAAAGTTACTTAAAAAAAATAGAATGCTTAGAATATTCCAGGCTGTGGTGGTTGGGAGATTCTGAATAGCACCTGTGCAGCAAAGGGGGAATTCCACATTCAGGGGCAGAAAAAGTGTACTAATTTTGACCAAGCTGGACACTTTTTGCAAGGTGCAACTTAGAGTAAAACCACAAGGAAAGACTCAAACAGTGCACAGATCTGAAAGCATGAGTAGCATTCTTCAAATGCTTGGGATTAACTCCAGATTTAATTAGAGCAGAGCTACTGCTCTTGCTAATTATGAAAAGACAAGGCTTAATTATTTCATAGGTGGACGTTGAGGTCGACATGTTCTGGGGCATCCTGGGATTTTTTTGCTACTCTCCCACAAAAACAAAAAACAAACCTGAGATGGAAGTAGCCAGACGTCTCCGATTTTTTTCAAATCCCCTTGTGGATTTCAGGGGATAAAACAAAGCGTGTGAGACTTTCATTGCCTTTTCATTTTTTAAATCCTTGTTTTATCCTTTTTTAAAAAAAAAACAACTCATTTTTTTCAGTGGCATAATCCTGGGCAGGTGACACCCATAGTCTGTGACCACGTATTATCCACCCCAGTCTCCATTAAGGATGACCACATTTGGCTTGAATACATGGGAAACCAAAAGTTTTCTCCTAGCACTGACCTTCCCCATCGCAGAGGCACCAGGCAGATCTCTCTGGAGAGGGTATTCCACAGACAGGGTGCCACCACAGAAAGGACCCCGTCCATTACGCCCACCAATCTTGCCTCTTTTAGGTGGATCCTTGTGGTGGGTGGGTCTCCTACGATGACCTTAGAGACCAGCTACTTACATCACATGTCTTTCTGTTTTTTTGCCCATCACAGAAACTTCTCGGATCCTATGTGTTTCTGATCTTTGCCGGTCTGCTCATCCTCTTTGTGGCGTTCATTTACTACAAAGTGCCAGAAACCAAGGGGAAATCATTTGAAGAAATTGAAGAAGAGTTCCGTCGCCGAACCAAGGACGCCATCAAAGGTCCCAAAACAGCAACTGAAATGGAGTATCTCGGCGGCAGCCAGGAGGCGTAGAGGAACCCCCTATGAGAAGAATGCTGACAAAAATGTCTTATTTATGCTTCTGGGAGAAGTGCTGCAGAAAGCAATTTTTAAAATGTAAAAATATGGAAAATAATGCTGGTAGGTTGAGTCTGTTTTGTGGCATTGGGTATCCGTTTTCCCTGCTTCCCCAGAAGCTTGCTTTATCTTGAGTTCCACTGCTTTACACAAAAGAAACACAGGATGGAAACTGGAGTGATCCACAAATGGGAAAACCTACACCCTGGTTAAATCTGATCTATGGGATTCCTTGGATTGAAAGACTGAAAGGTCTGCACATCTGATGCACCTTTGCTTAATAGGGAAATTGTGAGGGGAGCACTAAGGCCATCCTGCCAAAATTCAATGGGGAAGCAGTGAGAGGGTTTAAGGGGCTCAGAGGGGGCAACATTCCTGCCATAGTGGATTGGGAAAGGACAAGGGGAGCTGACTCCCAACTAGTAAATTATTCACCTCTTTTCAGTCTTATACAGACAGTTGCATGTTCCACTCAGATCATAAGTAGCAACTGAGTGGTAAGGGTGGTGGGTGGATGTTCATACTGGAAGAATGAGGCCGGAAAATGAGGTACCCCTCCTGTGGTGATTGCAAACCTGATCCAAACTGTGGGAACCTGGGGCCATAGGGAACCGTTCATCCCAACTAGATTAAATTCATTGAATGAATGGAACTTTTGCACCAACATCTAAGTAACTCCCATTGACTCAACAATTTACTTTAGCTGGGACTCCAGATGGCAACATTTGTTAATTTCTTTTCATGCAAACACTTGATCCTTTCCTAAAGGAGCGGAGTCTCTACTCCCATCCCTACTCAAATCAACATTGAACTGCAGGGATGAACACATGCACACTCTAAAATATTTGGGGCTTCCTTCTTTGAACTACGACTGGCCATGCCTACCCCGACCCCGGAAGATCTTTCCAAACTCTCCCTTCCCGCCACCCAAGCAGTTCTCTGGTCCAATGTGCTGAAATCAGAGGAAGGTAAAGTTGATGGAATTTTGAAATAATTCCTTGAAATGGGCGAAATAGGTTCGAAGAACGTGAAATAAGAATTAATTAGTGCTGTGATAAGGATCAGGGTCAGTACTGGAAAATTGTGTAGGGTGCGGTCCCAGAAACTAACATATGGGCCTGTCAGATGTTTTGGACTTCAGTGGCCATAATTCTTTACTATTAGCCATGGGGGTAATTTACTCCATGACCAGAGGTGCTACAATAAAGAAAATAACCTAGAAGGCCAAAGGTTCTCCATGCTTGACTTATGGGATGTCTCTCTTGATGCTGCTTCTGATGTACAAAGTGGGAAGGGCCACCAAATCTGTGTAGAACTATTGTCCTGTCTTCCAACTGTATCAGGGCAAATTTACATTGGTTTCATTAATACATCTTTCTGTGTTTCTTTTCACTATAACAATAATTCATGCACAGACTTTACAGAAGCTGAGAAACCACAGGTTCTTGGAACATCATTTGTTTTTTTTTAGAAAGCAATTTGAAGATCTTAAATGCAGACATAAAAACTTTACGTAGACAGTAGAATACAAACATGGTAAAGAACAAAGCTTCAAAAACTTCAGTATTTTATTTTGCAGTATTATAGAATCCCACACCAGCATATACACAGTCCAATCTGACTGATGAATGATAGGAACTGCAGTCCAAAATTAACTTTGCTAACCTTGAATACGGAGATACCACTGGAATATGCATCTATTTTACATATTCAATATATAGTCCATCACCAGGGAAAATTAAATTTGGAATTCAGAGTTCAAATTTGCAACTAGCCAATATAAAACATATGAAAGTGCTTTTCAAGTATCAGTGTTGGTATGCAGGTGGGTAACTCAAGTTTCTAACCTAAGGGTTGAGGCAAGCCCCTTAGGAGCAGATTGTACCACAGCCTTGAGTAATATGAATTTAAAAAAGCTTTTTGTTCAGTAGCCAATTAATGTCAGTTCTATTGGAATTTTCAGGATTGCAGCATCCTGGGACTATTGATCAGAATTCCCCCTCTGAGAGCTTTGATAAGCCTCAAAGGTGGAGATCTGTTCCTGGGAACTTCCTCCTGGCTCTTTCCAGCCACCAGTAAAGTGTGGAAGCATGTGGGGAGGTAGTGCATGGACAAGGACATAATACCCTGAACGTAAAGTAATTTCATCAGATTCTAGCAGCTGAGGAGATTCAGGACTGGTCAGTACTCAAATGGGAGACCACTAGGAATAGTAAGAAAATCTAGGAAGGGGAAAGAAATGCTCCTGCCTGCCAATCACAGTTTACAGTATTGAATTAGATGGACCAATAGCCTAAAACAGAGGTCCCCAACTCCCAGTCTGTGGCCTGATGCCAGTCCATGGCGTGAGCCAGACCGGTCCCCGGAGACAAACCTTCCTCCTCCATCCCTGCACAGTCCCTTTGCGCATGCGCCCGAGCGCCCACCCTCCCATTCCTTCATGCATGTGCACGAGCATGTGCCCGCCTGCACAAGTACCCTCCTGCTCCTTTGTGCATGTGTGCACATGAGAGAGAGAGAGCTCCCGCTCCTTCGCGCATGCGCACAAGCATGGGGGCGGTGGCCCGCCTTGCCCCACTGGTCTGCAGGGTTAAAAATGTTGGGGACCGCTGGCCTAAAACACATGAAGAGGCAGCTTCCTATGTGCCTTCGGGCCTCAGCCATACCCCCCCACCCCATGTAGAGGGGGATTAAGGCCACCTCTGAAGCTGGTCAAATTGCTCCCCTCTTTGCAACACTAACACTGACGGTGCTGGGGGCAGGGGATCTGTTAAGTTCTAATCCAAAACAGTGAACGTTTCCAAGCTCTTAGTTTTGCAGTAGGAAGTAACTATATGTCAGGGAAAAAAAAATTCAAAGTTTTGCAAGGAAGAAGATGACTGATGGTTCTATTATTACTTAATGATATACACCCTTCCCAGTATGAGCTCAGTAGGGCTTTGAAAATATGAAGGGATCCAACATCAAAATGCAGCATCATTGGGTTTCTTCTTTTTAAGATTTCAACCTAAGCCTGGCCTTAATGTGCTCACATCAAATGGAAGCAAAACCATTTGAAAAGGTATCACACATATAACAACTTGCATTAACCCCCAAGCACCTGGGCAGAAAACTTTCATTGATTGAGATATGGATTGTTTTCTGACCCCATGAGAATTCCAGTACATTATGAGTTAACAGTAGGGTTGGTCTTAGAGTTTAGATTTAGTTTAGATTTAACAGAAAGGTTTAATGTACACTTTCTGTATTTTCTGACCCGACTGAGAGTTCTTGTACAAACAAAGAGTTTGGTGTGGATTCTGCAACAACGGACCTGTCCACATTGGTTGTTTTGGGTGTGAGGCGGATGGTGTTACCAAAGGTCTGTTCAAATCTGGGGGAGGAGTGATGTGCCATCTGGGGGAGGAGTGATGTGCCATTTGGCAACAAACAACCCCTTGTAGTCTGATCAGCTGTCAATTAAGCACGTCCCCCAATTGTCCATGGAGGGTCAAGGGAATTAACTTTTTTTACAGCGCTTTTTCCTCCCTTTGTTGGTGCCATTTTGTTTTCTCTATTTCCCCCCTTGCTGCTTCCCTTCCCTCGTTCTCCCCACAATTTTTCACAACGCTTGTTGGAAGCTGAGGATGCTGGGGGCTACTATCTCCCAGCTAAACAATGAGAACACATACCTTACTACTGGGCCAGAAAGGTGTGTGGCAGCTCTTAAGGGGGGAGGAGCAACAATTCCAAGTAGAAACTTGTGGGCAAGGTCTTTTTCCTCCCTGATCCATACATTATATCTATATGCCAGTGTGGACAGTCCCAAAGTGTGATTCTTGGGGACTAAAAAGGTCCCATCTTTATATGTTATGGCTGAAAGGCACGGTGTGTTCAGAAGCTTCTCTCAGTGTCTACCCAATTGACCTCCAGCTTCTCAGCTCATCTTACCGGAGATTCAGCAATGCCTCAAGTCAAGCCCTCAACTTCAACTAGGGGATCAAGTGATCAACTGACCCCTGTTCTCCCCTATCCAGCACAAGTTATCTATGTCAAGAAGCAAATCAGGACTACATTCCACAAATCAAGATTTTTGCCTGATCAATGCTCTCTCTCTTTTCTTTTCTTTTCTTTTCTGCCGTTTGAATGTCCATGCGTGTTCTGAAGTGTTTTATGCAATTATAAGAACTAAGAACTCTGGTTCAGGAGGCTATTATTTGTGCAGTGCATTGATTTTGAAACTATATAGTTCCAACTAACGTTCCTGCATGTTAAATAATGGATAACAGAACAGCTGGCAAAACTGGAGTGCTTTGTAAATAAGGCAATTTGTCTACATGTTACTGACCATTAAAGTACTTTTATGCATTTTTTTCAAAAATGTTTTTTCATTATAGATATTTGCCTATGACTTGGAACACTATTATTTTTTTAGAATTATTTAATTCCTCTTTGATAGGGATTGGAAATGTGTGACACACCAGATGTGGCTGGATTTTGACTGCAATCATCCCCAGCCAATACAGCCTTTCCTCTTTTAGCCTGTTGTACTTTGTAGGTATGGTATGCAACACAACAAAGTGTGGGAATTTAAACATGGACACATTTCAAGATCTTTCCTTGTTGGTGTCAGAAGCAACAGCATAAATTAAGAAATATATCAGATAATTTCCACTCATTAATGGGTAACATCAAGAGCGTTTGGGCAGCTAGCATCAAGTCTTCTGTGCTATACATTGAGGAGTATACAGATATATGCATGCAATTACCTGTTCTTCTCTACACTTGCCTAGCCTGTGTGATCAGGGGCTAGATTTTCCTAGGATTCCATCCATTTTAACAGGTGAGTTTTTCTTTCTTTCCATATTATAGTCCTGGCATTCTCTGCTGTTCCTTTTAGATTCACACATGTTCTGAAAAAACGTTTTCTTGATTTGAAGGTGGGAGAGGCTGAAGAGCGGTTAGTCATTGAGTATTCCACTACAGTATTATCTGCCACCTCATTTTGTGTGTCACTGGGAGCAATGGCTACTTGATAATTAATAGATTAATGGGGGTGGCTTCAGGCATCCAGTGAAGATTCTCTAGCTTTCATTGAGTGCTGTGTTTTGCACAAGGATGAACTGTATCACACAAGGCTGGTATATTCATCTGCAGAATAGAATGAGGCCAAGACTGTAATTCTCAAAGGCTGTGGTTGTGTTTCCCAGCTACTTTCTGATAGCTTTCTAAGAATGCTCTTCCATGTAGAGACTTTTTTTGTTTTGTGTTTTTGACAGTGTTTCTTACAGGTCAGTGTACAATCCAAAGTATGACCTGGATATTTGGGGGGCAAAAGAGTAATCTAGCTGGATGCCATTCCTGGTAATCTGAAATTTCTGAGATGCCTCTTTATTTCTCAGATGAAAGGTGCATAATTAAGTCTTAGTAGGGTTGGCTTTAAGTTGATTTTTATTATAGTTGTTGCCCAATTCTTCTAATCCATCTATTAGCAGATGTTCTACCTTCTGAAAGCTATTTTAGCAGCAAGCACAAGATCATCAGCATCAGTCCAAATTTTGGTGCCTTGAGATAGCAGTTGTTAGAATGGATGCTAAACAAAACAGGGGCCAGTAGACAACTCTGGAATAGACCATAGACCATCGATTTGAATCCCCCATCAGCTGTGTTGTTTTTGAAAAATAGCCTTTAAAAAATCTGCTATTCTGCAAAGGGGTGCTACTGCTTGTGTTATAGCCCTTACTTAGATTATAGAATTTTTGTAGTGATTCTTAATGATAAATAGTGTCATGGGTAGCCAGCAGGTCAATAAAGGTTACCTCTTTCCTTCATATGGTTAAGAATCACTCTTCCCAGGATTTTACAGAGATGACAAAATAGAGTAGTAAGAATGGTCTGAAGCTTTTGGGGTCCGTAGGGTATTTTTGGTCAGGTTTCAAATTAGGTTTCATTTGTGACTTTTTACAGATTTTCAAAATCCTAAGAGAGTCAAGACAATTATTGCAGAAATTAAGGAGCCCCTCTTTGTTACTGTGACAAAACATTTTGTCTGTTCTACATGGATGCCATGCAGGCTTGCATCGTTATTTTTATAGCTACAAATAGCTTTTTTAAAAAAAAAATCTCTTAAGCTGAATGGTCTTGTAAGGTGGTCTCCAGCTGCTTATTTCTTTCAAGTTTTAACTCTAATTTCCTATGCTGATATTCAGATCTGCCATTAATGAGAAGTTGTGTGATTGGCTGAAATGTTTTCATGTGTAGGGCCTTGAGTTTGGTTGATGTTATGGCCCTTTAATAAAGTCCAGGCCTTCTAATTTTTAATTGACATGTTCATTTTTTCCTTGAGTTGTATCCAATTATTTCTGAGACCAAAGAAATTAATCAGTGCCCATCCAAAATGGTTTCTTTGCTCAGGGGATTTTGTTCAAATAATTAAAAATAATTATTCATTTGGGTGACTATTTTCAGATGTTTGGCCCTAAAGGTAATTGGTTCAGCATCTTGAACAATCAGGAAGCAGCAGCAGCTTTAAGGTAATCTCAGATAAGGCCTATCTGCCTTAACCTGAACTCTTTAAAGTAAACATGGAATGTGGGTGTGATGATTTAATAGGCAGCTGCTTCTGTATCACTGCTTTTTATAAACCCAATCAGCTTTCTCATTGGGAAATTGTTGCAGACAGTGTTTCTGGATTCAGTCAGCCTAGCATGAAAAAAATAGGAGAACACAAGACTCGGATCCATGATATGCCGGAATCTGCAGATACTATAATCTCAGCATTCAATAGTGATCATTGCAATCATTTAAAAGGAGATATGCCGAACATCAGGGACGTGGTGGTGCTGCGGGTTAAACCACAGAAGCCTCTGTGCTGCAAGGTCAGAAGACCAGCAGTCGTAAGATTGAATCCATGTGATGGAGTGAGCTCCCGTCGCTTGTCCCAGCTCCTGCCAACCTAGCACTTCAAAAGCATGTAAAAATGCGAGTAGATATATAGGTACCACCTTGGTGGGAAGGTACTGTAACAGCATTCCATGTCTAGTCGTGCTGGCCACGTGACCACGGAAACTGTCTTCGGACAAATGCTGGCTCTATGGCTTGGAAATGGGGATGAGTACTGCACCCTAGAGTCGAACACAACTGGACTAAATGCCAAGGGGAACCTTTACATTTACCTTTATGCCAAACATCCTGGGAAGCTGTGAGGTCCCATGGTTTATCAGTTAGACACACTACCTATATGGTTGATTACATCTATATCCCGCACTTTAGTGAGCTCCAATGGTATACATGGCTCTACTTCTCCTTAATTCATCTTCATGAGGATCTTATAGAGTTGTTCAGCCTGAGAGAGAATGGGGAAAAGAGAAAAGGAGAGAAAGATAGACAATCTCAGGGTCACCAAATACAGTAAGTTTCACGCAAATGTGGAGAAAGTTACTTTTCACACAACAGGTCTCTGCATGACTTTGGACCTGCCATAATCCTTCAGCCTAACTTATCTAAAAGGGTTGTTGAGAGAATAAAAGGGAAATATATGTACCACATAAAAATAAAACTGAATCTCATACAATGCCCTGAACGTCACAGAGGAACAAAAGATTAAACCATGCCCATTGTCACTATGTGCTCCATTCCGAAACATATGGCCAGACTGGAAAAACTCATTCATAACCTATCTGGGCCTCCATGAAGCTTCCAGGGGAGAATTTGTGCCCGGTCACTATAAGTTTCTTCTGTCTTGCAGAAATCTTGTGAGGATAAAATAGTGAAGGGAGTGCTGTGCATGTTACCCAAGCTGCTTGGAGGAAAGACAGGTAGAAGAACATTCCTTCTCAGCCCTTTGCTTAAGATCGAGTGTATGTAGGTAGAAGTATGATAAAGGAAATACAGCCGCTCTGGACTCAGAGCTTGGATAAGTTGTTTTCAGACTACAATTCCAAGGATCTCAGTAGCCATGCAATAATTTTTGTAAAGCCTTGTTTGAACTTGGGATTGCAGGAGCCAAGTTTCATGTACTCTTGTGCACTCAGGCGCCCCAGTGGTCTGTACACGTTCCACAAAATTTTGCAATGGTAATTGGCTTTTATTTGACCAAGCCATCATGCACAAATTTACAAAGTTTCTTGCTTTCCAAATTGAAACGGCCTCGGCACCGTGTTTGCACAGATTCATTAAACTAAATTGTTTACTGCTCTCTTCTGTGCTCAGCAACTTGGCAAGAAAAACATCTGCAGTTTCTCTCGGTCTGTTCCATGCAGTGCGGCTGAAACTCGTTCCTGGAGTACAGATGGTCCGGTTGTTGGTTTTTTCCTTCTTTTTCTAGTCTCTCAGCGTTACAGTTTGACCAGCCTGCTAATCATTAAAACAAGTCCAATGACCAAGCCATTTGGGTCAGCGAAATGGTTGCAGCACTTTAGCTGAACAGCCAAACAATGTTCCAGGACCATGTTTAGTTAACAACGCATTATAATTAATAAAGTTTATTAAAAGGCTCTTGTCAGCATGGCTCCGATGGTGTTTTCCTAAAGTGTTAAAATGACAGCTCTTAAAAGAGATCATTACAGTGTCAGATAAATGGTCGACAACACACACGTCCCACCCCGGAGATGAGATTGGTGTCCTAATGCAACAACTGTAACCCGTGTGATGCAATTACCATTTTCTGTACTGCTCTATTATGGCTCTTTCTGCCTCACTTCATGCTGTTTTTTCATTACGCCCTCCAGACTGGATACTCTATTATGGAAGAAAGGAGTAGCTGCAGGGGAAAGAGAAAGAGGAATGAATGTGAACAAGAGAAGCCATGGCATCAATTGGGAGGTCTCATTTTATTTTCCTTTTTTAAATGCTTTTACTTCACACATACATTCATTTTGCATACAACTGAGGGAATCTACAAAACAAAATTTTGGGACAAATTTCTTCTCCAAATATGGCCTATCTCTTTCTTAACGGTCACTGAAGTGGATTAAAACACACACACACACACACACCTACCTTGCATTGACTATTATGAGTTTGATTTTTCAATCTCATGGGAATTCCAGTATATTGAAATGTATCCTCCATACAAAGATGGCCGAGTTACTGGTAATCATACAGCGGTACCTCGACTAGTGAACGTCCCTACATACGAACGATTCAAGCTATGAATGGCTCCGTTCACAAAAAGTTGCTTCGACTTGCGAACGGAGCCTTGACTTACGAACCGAAAAAAAAGTAAACAAACCTTGCCTTCCCTTTTTTTGACTTGAGTTCACCTTAGGTCAAAAGAAGAAATTTTTTTTAAAAAAATGCTCCCCCTAGTGGTAGAGTGCAGATTAACCGGCTTTGCATTAGTTCCTATGGATAAACTAATGCCTCTAAAACAGCAGATAA